TTTCTCCAAATTCCTGTGCCCATTTTCTCATGCAATACAAGTCCACTCTTTAATACACCTTTCAAAGCTATTATATATCAACCTAACATTCACCTTGACCTAGATATTAGAAAAGGTTCCCCTGAAGCAGAATTAAAATTAAAAGAAGCCTTAGGGAAAAATTGGAAAAATTGGATGACCACGTATACAGATGCGTCCAAACATACTGATGATGGCTGCACTGGTGCAGCTGTCTGGATCCCCAGGTTTAAAATAATCCTTAGCTTTAAGTGCCCTTCATTATGTTCCATTTTTAACGCTGAGACAATTGCAATCCATGAAGCTCTGCTATATGTTGAATCACATAGCCTAGACAAGACAGTGATCTTTAGCAATTCTAAGAGTTGTTTATCTGCTATTTTGGCTAACCAATTGCAAAGTATATATAAATTTCCCCTAATTCTTGATATAAAAAGCATTCTGTATAGATGTCATTTTAAAGGGATTTCTGTCTGTTTAGCCTGGATACCTAGTCATAGTGGTATTTGTGAAAATGAAAAAGCAGATTTGTGTGCCAAAGAGGCTACTAGAAATGGTACCCCACTAAATGTTATTTATTCCCATGACTTGCTGTCACTTGCTAGGAAAAAGCTTGTTAATACGTGGATTGAGATATGGAAAGCATCACAAATACTAAAAGGCAAGCACTATGCTGCTATACAAGATAATATTCCATCAAGACCTTGGTTTTTCATATTTAATAAAGCAAACAAATGTGCCACCTCTATTGTCAGCCGGTTGAGAATTGGACATGCCTGTACCTATGTCCACCTAGCTAAACTCAGGATTAGGGATAGTTCTCTGTGCGAATGTAGTTTAGATGAGGGAAACACTAATAATATTTTTTTTAACTGCACCAAATTGTCATCATCTCTTTACGATTATCTGCCCCCTGACATCCCTCGTCCCATAGACTTTAACTCCCTTCTAATCTTCACAAATACCTCTTTTGTATATATTTTATGTGATTCAGCAGTTAAGTTGACCAAAATCATTCACATAAAATTCCTTTGTTACCATTTCTTGTATTATCAATTTCCTTTTTTAAGCAGAGTTTGTGTCCCAATTATACCTTCTCACATGTAACATGTCATTGGCGAATTCATCGTAACCGCCATAAAGGAAGAAGAAGAAGAAGAACTCTTTGTTCTTTATCAGCATCTATAAGACCACTACAGAACATATTCCTCTTCCATTGTTAGATGGATTTATTCTAATCACATCTTTTGTGCAGTGCTAGTTTTCGTATTTTATATCTGGCATATTATATGAAATAACTAGCTGATACCCGTGACTTCATCCGCATTGTTTGATATATTAACAAAGTTTTCGTATGTGTGAAGAAAAAATAAATCAAAAGGACAAAATTTCTTTGTATACAATGCTATTTTTTGCTCCGTTTGTAGTTAAAATATATAAATTATCTGGGTTAGTATTGCGAGCAAGCGACATACAGTAAACTGTGTGAAAAACCCTATATAAAAATTGTTGTTGCTTAAAACTTTAATAACTATGTATTAAATGAAGATATCGCAATAATTTTTTTTAGATAAGAGCCAAGTGTGTAAGAAATAAAACTTAGAAAACCTAATTGAAATCTATCCAGTAGTTTTTCAGTGATGCACACACAACTGCAAACCTCTATCATTTTGTTTATATAGATATAAGGCTTAGCTTTCCATTGACGTCCGTCGAGTTAGAGGTTGATTTTTTTTTTACAGTAAGGATACATTATTATAAGCACACAGGCAGTTTCAACATGCGGAAACGTATACTTTTTAAAAAAACATTATTGAAAATCAATTATTTTTGCAATATATATGTCAATTCCTACCGTAAAACTGACGCTATTTTGTATTGTCATTGTCATCGTCAGTAGTGATGTCGATTCTTTCCGAGAAAGATCGATTTTTAAAACGATTCAAATCATATGCTGATGCATCGATTCACAAAAAATCGATTTCTAAAATATCTATATTTTTTCATGTTTACATTTATAATGTAAATATATATCCATTTTATGAAAAACAAGAAAAATACCATAATAAATTATCTCTTATTGAAATTTGTTTTATTTTAACAGTACCTATTAGGGCAGATAACAAATAAAATAGGTTATGTTCAACTTATGTCAAAGAATCGAATTGATTGACCCCGACTCCACCTGGTACGAGTCTGTCCTACCCCTAGAGTGGTTTTATAGAGCCGGAGGCGCGTAGGGGGAGCAGCCTCTGCCTGCTGTAACAAATCGTAGGCATCGGACGAGCCATAGCGGCTGAGGCTGGTGGCCAACAAGCTGAAGCTGCGAAGGCGAGGAACAATGCCTGCGATTTGTTACGGAAAGGCGTAGAGGCTGCTCTTCCCGCAGCGCCGGAGACGTAGCAGTCTCAAAATAGATGCAGAAATCCTTCTGAATCAGTCCCCCTATTTTTTTTTATGATGAAGGGGATTTTTTTCTCAATAAATGGATTTATATTTACATTATAAATCAAACATAAAAAATATAGATATTTAGAAATCGATTTTTTGTTAATCGATACATCAGCTTACAATTCGAATCGATTTAAAAATATCGAACTTTTTCGGAATGAATCGACATCCCTACTGACTACGACAATACAAAATGGAGTCAGTTTTACGTTATAGCAATTGACATAAATATCGCAAAAATAGTTGATTTTCAATTTTTTTTTTCTCAATTACACCTTCTTATTACACCACCACATTGTATATAGTCTGTATTACTCGCTACAATGCATAATTCTAGGCTTATTTCATCCCACTAGCATTTAAAAATTAACTGTTATTATCATTACAGCCCTTCACAAGTTCACTGCTGAACATAGGCCTCCCGCAAGTTGTGCCACAAAGCATGGTCCTGAGCCACATGCATCCATTGACGACTACCTGTATGTCTTACTAGGTCATCATTCCAACTAGTGGGGGGTCACCCTACATTTCGCCTACCGGCACAAGGCTGCCACTCGAGAACCTTTTTCCCCATTAATTGTCGGTCACTCTGGTTCTACTGCAGATATTAACTGTTAATGTAGTACAAACACAAATATACAAGAGCACCACTCTGTTGTATTGTGGCTGTAGCACAATTGGGTCTATTTGACCTGTGACTACCCCCACAGAATACCTATGTGAAAAAGCAACTTAATCCTGCTGCATTTCATATGGTAAGCGTAGAGAACTGAAGACCCTTTTTGCTGGCAATGAGTCTTTTATCTTAGTTCTCAAGTGTAAAAATGCATTTGATAAACAATAATAATGAAAATGCATCACAGGAAACCAAATCAGGAGATAATTAAAAATAAAAAACTATAGTTGCAAACTGTGGAAACCTATGTTTAGCAGTGGATTTGGGTTGGATTTAGAATCGTTTGGCACGAATTTGGCGGAATAAGGTGTTTTATTTGGAAGAGATTTGGTCCCCGATTATAATAATACCACTCACATTAAAAGGTAATGCACCGTTATCGAATAAATAAATAAAAACTATTATAACCTAAAATGTGTAAAACATGGAAAAATTACTGTGAAAGCTGGATAGCATACAGATATTTGTGTAAGTGTGACAAGGACGTAAGACTAGTGTCACATTATTCTACTGTCTATACTCTCTGTCAAGAGATATTTCGCTAAAGACAACTATAATAATAGAAACAATTTTACCAACGTGATATATGAATATTTATGGATAAGAGAAATTATAAGGAATAAAAGAGATCCTTATGAGGAATTAATAAAAAAAATTATGTTTACAGACAATAAGGAAATTATTATAATAAGTATATTTAGATAATAACAATTCAAAAATAAAACAGTAGTTTTATTTCTGAATTGTTTAAAACTGCCCAGAAATACTTGAACACCCAGAAATAATTTCAGTTGTAATAGGTTAGAAGGTGGTGGCGGGAGCAAAGGCAACCTGACTTTATAGATAAGATATCTGATCTGATCGAATCTGTACTGAAATTAAACCAGCACGCCCCGGCTCCACGTAGTCTTGTCTGCCCTACTCCTAGAGTGTTTTTGTAAAGCCGTAGGCGCGGAGGGAGAGCAGCCCCTACCCGCTGTTGCAAATCGCAGGCACCTGTGCGAGCCGTAGCGGCTGAGGCTGGTCGCCGAAGGCGACCAATAAGCCGAAGTTGCGGAGTTGAGTTAGATTCGCTTCGCAAGGCGAAGGGGCTGCACTTCCCGCAGCGCCGAAGCCGTTGTAGAAGTAGCTTTGGATCAATATTCCTGTGTAAAAAGTGAGATTATGATTTTACAAAAAAAAAAAAAACATTACTCAGAAACTATACATTTCCGCAACGAGGGAAAGGTAGAGGGCCTTTCCCTGATAGGGCACACTCTTGCTACCCACTTCCCCCTCCTGCTGATAAATGTTACTTTCAGGTTAGGTCTATGGGTTTTCTTTTTCATTTTTCTCAATAACAGTGTATTACCTTTTAATGGGAGTGGTGTCGGGAGTAAGGGGACGCTCCCCATTCCCCTCCCCTCAACCCCTGTCCCCTCCTCCTGCCAAACGATTGTAAATTTCAACCGTGGATTTTAATAGGCCGTAACGATAACTGTATAAGGGTAAGGCCTCAGTGAAGAGCTTCGCGGGGCGTGTGGTGTGGCTGTGTAATGCCCAAATAATCAAACACTACTCAATTTTAAGATACCATTAAGTCTTATGCTGTCTCTATCGCTTTATATCAAAGTGACTGTAACACTATGAAACTTAACGACATCTTAAAATTGAGTAACATTTGAGTATTTGGCCATAAGAGGCATACACCAATTTTTATTTATTTTATTTTATTAAACTGTAGTAAGATAAAAAGCTGGAAAAAAAATCTGGTTATATACAAAAAACGACAACAGAAACGTATGATAATTAGAGTTTGATTTTCGAAATAATTGCTTAATTTCAAAATATCTAATAATTTTGTGCTCTTTTACAGACATTCCTTTTACAGAAGAAGACTTTGATAAAGAAGATAAAACAGATTATGACAGTGATAAAGTTGAGAGTGACAAAGAGGAAAGTGATACAGACTCCATTGATGTGAACTCTCTTAAAGATGCAGAAATGGATCTCACAGATGACCAAAAGGCAGAGAGGAGGTTGATAGCAGAGGAACTAAAGACAGCTGGAAATGACTCATTTAAAATTGGTGAATATGAGAGGAGTATAGAAAAATACACTGAGGGTAAGTTTTGTTATACCATGTCATCATTCATCAATTACACCATGTTGTCATTAATCCTTTCATGACAGCCTATTATTTTTTTTTTATTTAAACTATTGATGTTAAGAAAACGGCAGACTTATGGGGGATTTCCGTTAAAGTTATTTTATTTATAATAGATATAATAGCACCGTATCTAGCCACTATATTTAATACAAGCGTCGAATCTGGTGTGTTTCCTGATTTAATTAAACGTAGTAAAGTCATACCTTTATTTAAATCTGGTAGTATATTAGACCCCGCCAATTTTATACCAATTTCTGTACTACCAAGGTTTAGTAAAATTTTTGAAAAAATAATTTTGGATCAGATGTTAAGTTTCTTTAATATTAATAATAATAAAATAATCGGTTTTACAAGGGGTCGCTGGACAACTGAAGCTTATTAAACATATTTTTTGTGCATGGGAGAATTCAGAGGATGCTTTGGGTATGTTTTGTGGCCTTTCCAAGGCCTTCAACTGCGTTCACCATGAGACATTGTTCAGGAAGCTACAGTACTATGGTGTCAAGAACACAGCGCTTAAACTTATTATTTCATATTTAAGTAATAGAATGCTGAAAGTTATTATCAATGGTAAAAGTTCTTCCGGGTCAATTGTACTAATGGCTGTCCCTCAGGGCTCCATTCTCGGCCCAGTCCTATTTCTAGTGTATATTAATGACTTACCTTCTCTTGTAGGGGATAATCATGATATAGTATTATTTGCTGATGATACTTCCTTGATTTTTAAACTTAAACGTCAATCATTTAAATGCGACGAAGTGAATAATGATATATCAAAATTAGTGCATTGGTTTAACGTTAATAATCTACATTTAAACGGAAATAAAACTAAATGTATTAAATTTACAACAACGAATGTTAAAAATCTGAGTACCAATGTGTTTTTAAATGGTAAAGAACTGAGCCCTGTTGAATCCACTGTTTTTCTTGGCATCACTCTCGACGCAAAGCTTCAGTGGGGCCCCCATATGTCCAAACTAGCAAGCAGACTAAGTTCTGCAGCCTATGCTGTAAAAAAGATTAGAGGTCTCACTAGTGTCGAGACAGCTAGATTAGTTTATTTCAGTTATTTCCTTAGCATAATGTCTTATGGTATTTTGCTATGAGGAAATGCGGCTGATTCAGAAACTATTTTTGTTTTACAGAAGAGGGCCATTAGAGCTATTTACAACCTAAAACCGAGAGTCTCTAAGAGATAAATTTAAAGAAATAAATATATTAACTTTGGCCTCTCAGTATATTTACGAAAATTTAATGTATGTTCAAAACAAAGGTAGTATTAGTAAAAAATGTGATGTAAACACTAGGAACAAACACAAGCTAGTGATACCAGTTTCTCGACTCCACAGAGTCAGTAATTCATTCATGAGGCAACGTATACGATATTACAACAGGGTGCCGGAAAGTATACAGGCTCTCTCTATTACCAAGTTTAAATGTTTTGTTAAGTTGAAACTGTATAAAAAGGGTTATTATAGTATAAATGAATACATGGTTGATAATAATAACCCGTGGGAATGAGGTGGTCGCTTCCAAGCAGTTTCTAAAATAAATTTTGTATCTACGAATCATTAATGTAAAATATGCTTTTAAAGAAAAATCCCGCTGGGTTTCTTGCTGGTTCTTCTCAGGACAGAGGTTTTTTTTTCGAACCAGTGGTAAAGTAAAAAATGACTCAATAAGAATTACACATGTGATCTATATTGAATAAAAAATTATTCTATTCTATTCTATTCTATTGTAAGACCACTGTTGAACATATAGGCCACATTCGTAGATTGTCTTATAGGGGAGATATTTGCTATAACTGCAATACTTAGCAGGCAGGTTCACAACCGCAGTCCATAGGATGATATAGTATAGTCAATGTCGGCGCCTCTCCGATAGCCTTAGGTTCTCAAAGGAGCAGAAAGAAGCGCAGGAGGCTTATGCTTCATAGGCGACATAAAACATGGTTTTATGTCGCCTATGAAGCATAAGTCACGAAGGCCTAACACGCCATACGTCGATAGTTGCCTACACATCTACACGCTACCAACCTTAAACATAGGCCTCCCCGTAGATTAACTCATAAGGGGGATACTTGCCATAGTTGCCACGCATGACAAGCAGGTTGGTGGCATCTGCAGTTTTTTATTTCATAAGTCGTTAATAGGATGACATTGTTGATCATCTCCTGATTTGTTTCCCTCAGTCACATCTTACAACACTTACGGGATGATATGAGGTAGTGGATATTCTTACACTGCCACTATGTGGTAAATTCCTTTATTATGTGAGAAATATAATATTGTTATTAAAATATAGTTGCTCATTAAATTCTATTCTATTGTGCGAGTCATTTATTTTACATTTCAATGCCGAACAGTGGATTGTTTTAGCACTACTTATCAATCTAGTACTTACAAGTGGTAAAATATGTTTCAGGTCTACGAATTTGCCCTCTACAGTTCACACAGCAAAGATCTGTCCTCTATTGTAACCGAAGTGCTGCAAAAATGAAATTAGAGAAGTACAAGAGAGCTATCAAGGACTGTAGCAAAGCCATCGAGCTGGATGATAAATATCTAAAAGCTTATTATAGGTAAGTTATAATTCTCGACATACTCTAAAGATAGCAATATTATTATTATTATTACTAACCTGAAATGTCCCAGTGCAGGGCAAAGGCCTCCCTACTCTTTTTCCACTTCTCTCTCTCCAGAGACACCATAGACCAATCCTTCATGAAGGAGTCCAGTTCATCCCGCCATCTTCGCCTGGGTCTGCCTCGCTGACATTGCCTTTAATAGGGACTCATTGGATTGTCAATTTGGCCCATTGGTCATTTGGCAATTCAGTCTTCAGCTGATGAGTTGACTCAGATGCTAGATGACCTTAGCAAAACAAGCTGAGGTTGGACTTCTAATGAACATGTCAAAGTAAAAGTTGATGCCAAACAGCACACATCACAAGATTACTGTCGAGGGTGTAGAGATTACATACGTCGATGAGTATCTCTATTTGGGCCAAATAGTCTCTTTCTAGGCAAGACAAGAAAAAGAAATTACAAGACATACCAAAAAAGCCTGGAAGAGCTTATTGGTCTATGAAAGATCTTGTGAGAGGTGGTCTTCCTCTATCCCTGAATAGGTGACTCATGCATACATCCCATCCTCACCTATAGTGCCTAGATATGGTCTTCGACAGTCCAGCAGTGTTCCACACTTTACTTGTAGACCGGATTAGGAATACTGAAATCCCATGAAAGATCTAAATTGCTAATGTCACAAAAAGCTGTTACACTAAAATGGGACTGGACACATCTGCCGAAAAAGAAAGAGGTAGAGCCATGCTGCAGCTATGTTAGTAGTATAGTTGTAGCACGAATGGGTCGGCTCGACCGGGGAAGTACCACACTCACAGCCAGCGTAAAATAGCAGCTTAACACTGCTGTGTTTCGTATGGTGAGTGTAGAGAACCAGATACCCTTTATAACGCATCTGCATTTTATTTTTTATTGAGGATAGATGTAGCTTCACAGAAGCCACTTACTATCAGGTGGACTGTGTGCTCGTTTATCACCCTATACTATAAAATAAAAGATAGTAATAATGGGAACAAAATGTTTTTACGATTCATCTAATATTTAATAACTTAGGTTTATTAGGAATACTAGAGCAGCTTACTAGACTAATTGTTCCAAAACATCCTCGTAGAAGTGAGAAGAGGCCTGTGCCCAACTGTGAGATGTATTATTTAGGCTGTAACTTTACTATAACACCAAGGAAAAAAATGTGGTGATTAAACATAATTATAATTTTTAACCAAAAGTAAAAACCACCTTCAAATTACTAAAAAAGAAGTTATTTATTTGCTACCTTTAGGGCTGAAAGTTTTTCTCCAAATTTATATGGGATCTCCCTCGAAGTAGACCTATTTAAGAAAATACAACAATTATCAAAATTGGTGCACAATCTGTAAAGATACCGCTTTCCACAGATACGAAAAAAAAAACACGAATTGAGTACCTCCTTTTTGAATTCGGTTAAAAAGGTGGTCTTATTTACGTTTTAATTCCACATTTTTACAGGAGAGCACAGTCATATGAAGCAACTGATAAACTAGATGAATGCTTAGCGGATTACAAGAAAATACTGGAACTAGACCCAACGCACAAAGAAGCACAAGTCGCTCTGGTCCGTCTACCTCCACTCATAGAAGAAAAGAATGAAAAACTAAAGAAGGAGATGTTAGGAAAACTGAAAGATCTAGGCAACATGATATTAAAACCGTTCGGCCTCTCTACTGATAATTTCCAACTGGAACAGGACCCCGAATCAAAAGGATATAAGATTAATTTTAAACAATAAATGTATTATTTTGTATAGATTTGTGGTACTGTAATTATATTTATTTGATTAAGAGCTTCTGTAGTTTCTTTTGATCATTCCTTACAGGCCATGACGAGCCAATGTTGAACATAGGTCTACCCTATAGATTAACTAATCTAATATCCCCCATTTGCCATATTTGCCACGATTCCTAATTGAGGATAAATGTAGATGTAGAGTCTATGACCCACAGCATCCACATACCATCAGGTGGACTGTGTGTGCTCGTTTGTCACCCTATTCTAATAAACAATAAAAACTGGTCAAGTGCGTGCGATATTATCAAGGAAGCCCATACGTAAGTCAACAACGAAAGGGTGGCGACTGACCGACCATCTAGTTGTCCGATGGTTGAAGGGAGAGGGAGGAATTAAATTATGCAATTGTAATTTTCGCCTGTGTTCCAGGCTGGTAAGATTGGTTTTAACCAAATTTGGGTCACCAACAAGCCTCTTAGCATGCCTTTCCATTGAGTCCAAAGCTGCTAGGTGGCATTTCGCAGCACCAGGCCATATATGGCAGCAATACTCCATGTACGACCGCACTTGCCTTTATACAATATAAGCATCTGTTTCGGAGTGAAGTATCGCCGCACCTTTGCAAGGACTCCTAGATTCCTTCCAACTGCTTTGGCCTTGGACTCAATGAACCGCCCTGCTGGCTGGTGAGCTGGCTCCTTTTTACAGTGAAGAGACACGCTTGTGTTTTGGAGGCGTTGAAATTCACAAGATTGGCACCGCTCCATTCGGAGACTGCTTGTAGTGCAAGATTCACACCGCTCTATCATAGTTTCTCTTTCGGACTGGATTTGAGCCGGACTGGCCTGAGGACTTGGTTGTTATCTCTCCACAACTGTGTTATCGTCTGCATACACATAGATACCGGACATAAGCAGATCATTAATATGCAGCAGGAAGAGAGTTGCGGAGAGAACGGACTTCTGAGGAACACCGGTGTTAGTCGCCATAGGATCGGATGAGCAGTCATGGACGACGAGCCGGAGAGACTGTTCACTCAAAAAGTCCTTTACCCATTCAATTAGACCAGGGGATAAGCCGCATGCTAGAAGCTTAACCAAAAGGCTAACATGCCGAACTCTGTCAAAGGCCTTCGAGACATCAAGGGAAACAGCAAGTGCTTCTCTACTGTTCTCGAGTATCTCGCCCCATACGTGTGTGGCATACGCTAGAAGGTCCCCAGCTGACTAATTTCGGTGAAACCTATATTGCCGGTCACTAAGGAAGTCATTCTGTTCTAGGTTTTAATATACGCTCCATAATCTTTCAGAGTATGGAGGTAATTATCGGCTCATCGCAATGATGGGCCGATACTTGGCAGGGTCGGCACGGCTGCCTTTTTTTTTGGAACAGGCGGCACCTTGGCCAGCTTTCAGGATTTTGGCACTATTCAGTCTAAAATGAGAGGCGGTACAAGCGCGTCAGTACAGGAGACAACTCAGGTGCATAAGCCTTTAGAACTATAGCTGGTATACCATCTGGTCCACTAGATTTATTCACGTCTAGACACTGAAAGCTTTTAAGAACCTCCTTATTTGTTATACGAACCTCCGACATAGAGGTCCCGCAGTGAGGTAATTTAGGTGGAACGTTGTTGCCGATGTCTAGACGTGAATCGTAGGCAAAGAGAGACACGAACAAGTCGGCTCTCTCTTTAGCCGTATGTACAAGTGTACCATCCGGTTTTACCAGTGGAGGCAGTGTAGGTCGACAAAAGTTTGTCTTGATCGCTTTGGCGAGAGACCAAAAAGGTCTAGTGCCGGATGGTCTGGCAGAGAGTTTTGCGCCAATATGTTTAATGCCATCGAGACTAGCTTTCCGTTTTTGTAGGACTTGGCGGCTTGGTTGAAAGTTCTCTTTTTGGAGCTAATATCCGGGACTTTGCGGTTTCGATCGTCAATCCAGGATGCAGGCGCTTTTCAGCTTGGGCGCATTCAATGTTAAAAATGGGCAAGCTTTGCTAGCGGTGGTAGCATCAGAGAAAGGTATAAAATACTCCATAGCTTGACGCAACACATCGCAACCGCGCAGCTCGATGGATCCGCAGAAGAGAAACAGATCTCCCGCCAAGGATAAAATGCAAAAAAGTGTCTCATCTTATCCCAATCAGTTGACTTGTTCCGCCATATTCGTCGAATACCTTGGGACTCGTAATCAGGTGGAGACTATGACGATACAGATTTCACCAGATAGTGGTCAGATGTACTCAAAGGGGAGGTAACCTGTACTTCATACCTGTCTGATTCGGTAGTTAGCAAAAGGTCCAAGCAATTTGCTGTATGACCATCTACATCGGAGACCCTTTTTACTGGAAAAGAGGCGTTCCAACTTAGTCCTCACGGGTGACAATGCATTTTGATTCACAAACGAGGATAAATGTAGATGTCTATGGGTCACAGCAACCACTTACCATCAGGTGGACTGTGTGCCCGTTTGTCACCCTATTCCTATAAAAAAAAAACTAACAAAACGAGTTAAACGCGGCATACCTTATTCGACTCGTCCAGCAGTTCCAGCAGCACTCACCGAAGTACACTTTCAAGTCATACAAGTAGGTATTCGAATTTCGTATATGAGTATATTTTTATAGGTATGAGAAATGAAAAAAAAAATCAATCTTTCAAAGTATCAAAATGTTTTATGCAAAGATGTTTTGACCTATAAAACATCTTTGGTTTTATGTTTTGTGTGCGTGACCCGTGTCAATGTAATAGTTCGATTATATATCTATCAATTTTGCAAACGCGTCCTTAAGAAGTTTTTAAAAATAGAGAGGGCAGAATTTCTTATTCCGATATTATTCAATTTGTTTACATGAATAGGAGTCGAGACGGTGTCGAATGCTTCGGCTAAATCGAGAAAACCCCTAAATATAGTAATAAGTGACCTTCTAAAGACTTTTGGAAAGCATCCTTGTTCAAAACAGATTTTAAAGAGATTGGTAAGTGACTGTATTGAAAGAGTTGAAGGTAATGTTAGAAGAAAAGATACTTAAAATGAAACTACTTTAGAAAAGAAAATGGATAGACGAAAGCAAAGAATCTGGAGGTTCTGTTTGTTGTCGACGCGACGTTACCTTACAATGCAGCTTCAGCGACTGACCAAGTACTGACTTGGTCGTTTAGTCAATGTTAATATCACTGGCGCGGATGGCGGGGGAGTGGACTGACTTCAAAATATTCAAGCAGGAATGTTGAAGTCAGCACTGGCGCCACAGCGCTGTACTGACTCCAAATCAATTTACACTATGTCAGTATCGGGTCGGCACTGACTTGCCCGGAATTTGGAACCAGTTACTGACGCTGTGTAAATTAGCCATTATGTTACATAGACATACCCAGGCAGTGTCAGCAGGCATTCTGATTTTTGACCGTGGCGGTCATCCAGAACGCACTCGTTCGTGCGTTCACTGCTGTTTCGATGTCTACATCGGAAGGAAGATGGAGACCGCGAAGTCGATTATGTTAGTACGAGAAAGGTGTTTTTATTTGATGTGAAGAATGATGATTAAAAAAACTGAGCAAAAGTAGCAGAAGCGTGGTTAGAAATTGCCAGAAAAATGGGGACGGAAATTTTTTCATCAGTAAGTCATTTATAAAACAGTCTATGTAATTCTCCATCTTGTTCTCTGTTCTTATTTAGTGGGCGCACCAAATGTTTCCTTTTCCTTTTTAATGCTGCTAATGTTCACAATATCAATAATTCGTCTTCCGATGAAGAACTATAGTCAAAAAACTTGGTGACTGTAGACGCACCGCGTAGACCGTACAACAGTGGGATGCGTGAGCAAGTGAACGCTGGAATGAAGAACGCGGAACGCTTGAACGCGTGACCGCTTCCTGTCTCAGAACCCTGTGAAGTTTTCACTGAACATATACACAAACTCTCTCATAATTTACTCTTTTATAAAATATTAAAAGAAATAAATATGTAACGCCACATTTCATAAAAAGAATGTCAAAAGATTTTTCTATATACTATGACAGTAGTATATGTATTTTGGATGTTATTTTATTGATGTATAGAAAAGTAATATTTTTTAATTAATTTAAGACAGTCATTACACGTTTTTTGTTTGTTAACGGAATTATTAAATTTTGTAAGTATTGGACTATTTTTTTTTAAAACAAGTTTTTGAATACTTTAAAGAAATGTTCGTTCTGGCTCTGAGCAGGCCAAGCTGCCTAACCTAATCACCGTCTTACATGCTCGACGACGAATAACATCGGACACAAACCAGCATGGCCGTAAATAAAAAATATTTTGGGGACCACCACTGGGGGTTAGATTAACGCACGCAGCCGACTCTATTCAGCCATTAAGTACTCCTCTCATTTGGTTTTATGATATATTATATCATAAAACCAAAGAGTTCTGTTCGATAGATATTATTATTATAGATTTATTACTATTTCGACTAATGTTTTAACCGGTTAAAATAATTACTTATGTAGTTAAGCATTGTTGAAAATAGTCTTCTTTTTCTGAAGACCTAGGGTCAGCAATCGACTTTATATGGGTTGTAATGAAAGTACAATAATTTGAGAAGTGTTGTTTGTGAATGAAGCGTTTTGTATAACCTTTTTTTATAGAACAAGGGTGACAAACGAGCTCACAGACCACTTGATGGTAAGAATCAAAATGCAGTTACGTTATCACCCCGGAGGAACAAGATGGAGTGCCTCGTTTGCTGTAAAAAAAGATCTCCCGTTATCTACACTCACCATACAAAACACAGCATCGTTAAGAAATTTATTAAACTAATATAATCTTTTTTTAAACATTTCAGATACATTATGGCGAGGTGTCGTCAAAAGCGGTATGCAACACTTTATTTTTTTTTTGCCATGTAGTGACGACATGAAGAATCCCCTACCCCGTGGGTGTCGTAAGAGGCGACAGTGACAATCAGCATCGTCCTGATGACAACTCAAAATAATAATGAATACTGCAGTTGCCAAG